ACACATTCAAACAAACATCAATTTGCAAAAGCTAAAGAAAACAAGGGAGTTTTCAAAAGAGATTTTAAAACTGATAAAGATGGAGCAGCTCTGAGGTGCTCTGGCAGGCTGTTCCATAATCTAAGGCCCATCACCGAAAAAGCTCTATCTCCTCTGCGTTCCAGCCTAGTGGAAGGAACCTTAATTAGGTTTTGATTACCAGATCTTAAATCTCTGGTAGCGTTGTAAGGATGCAGCAATTCCAATAAGTAACGTGGGGCAAGGTTGTGTATAAACAAATAGGAGGATTTTAAAATTTATCCTAAATTAACAGGGAGCCAATGAAGAGCTCACAGAAAAGGGTGTGGCAGGATCAATTTTGCGGCCTTTCTTAAGAAATTTGGCTGCTGTGTTTTGGACCAGTTGTAAATGAGCTACTTGGGACTTTGAGATACCACAATACAAAGAGTAGCAATAGTCCAATCGAGAGGAAATAAACGTGTGAACAGCTGTCTCAAGAGGTTTTTCAGGCAGAATATCTTTGATTTTAGAAAGTAAGCGGAGCTGAAAAAAGCTAGAAGCAACAACCGAGGAGACATGTTTCTCTAGAGTGAGCCGACTGTCTAAGAGAACACCAAGGTTCCTAACACACTTTGATTCAAAACCTGACAGGCTATCTAGTAATAATAATAACAACTTTATATATTTTTTATATATTCAACCATTTTTTATATATATATATTATTATAACTTTAAATAAAACATTTTAGTACTAAACAACAATATAAATAATAGTTGTCAGTATTAAAATTAAAAGCAATAAAACTATTATTATTATTATTATTATTATAAATAATAGTTGCCATTATTTAATATTAGAATTAAACAGAAATAAAAGCAATAAAAGCAATAAAAGTAATAATAAAAAAATAATAGTAAAAATAATAATAATAAAACGGCATTTAATAATAATAATAATAATAATTAATTTTTTATTTGAGGTTAATAAATAATAATGTTATTTTAATTTCTTTTAAGTTATTACATAGGAGAGTGTTTAAAGGGGTCATTTGATGCGATTGAAATTTTTCCTTTCTCTTTGGAGTGTTACAAGATATCTGCTTCGTCATGCCTGGAGCTGATCTGTGCTGGTTGCTGAGGAAATACTACAACTTTGCGCTGTCGATCGCTGGATTGGCTTTCACCGTGGACGAAGCGGAGCCCAGCCCTGGCTTGTCACATATCCTTTTTGCTTTTTAAGTTCAAGTTCGTACCTCATATGACCATGGTGCTACATATAGACCAGTGGTCTGCTGAAGGAACTGATGAACTTCCATGGTGCTTTTGAAATCAGTTTGATGCTTGAAGGCCTCTGTAACATCTGTCTTTATAGTCACCTCTAGCCAGGACACGTTTAGTCAGAAACATCTTGTTTAAGGACTGGAGAACAGACCAAACCTTGAAGTTATCTGCAGCGTCCATGTCAGAGTATTTTGAAATATTGAAATGAACTCTGAGACTCTGAGCATGATTCATCCACCCAGGATGTGATGTGAAGGATAGCAGATTGTTCCCAGCAGTCAAAGTGAGCATTGCATTTAAGGACAAAAGCACATAAAAGTCCCTGAAGGGGGAAAAAATCTGATCTGTGTGGGGGTGTGGAGTGGAAGACTTGTACAGATATTTCTACAATTTGACGACATATGGAGATCTGATCTGTGGTAATGCATTTTTATTAGGTTAGGGCATCATTTAGCCTCCACCTGCTCTGTTTTCAGATGAATCGCTCTCCTTGAATTGGTTCTAGTAAAGCGGGGTGTAGGAGTGTTTTCTTGTCTTAGCATCCAGAGCTTTTCAGCTTTGTCTGTTTAGATGAGCTTTTTGGCAGCTCCTGTCAACAGTGTTCTTCTTCATAACATGGAGCTCTGTTCACTTCTGAGAGTTTTTTTTTCTTGTGGTTCCTGACAGATGATGCAGAAACACTCTTCTTCTTTTCTCGGCTGTGTACTGATGATATCAGTTGCTGGTGAGTTTCTTTTGCTTTCCAGCCAGTGTTGGTCTGCTATCAAACATCTTCAGCTGCCCGCATATCTTCCCATCATGCTCACTACCACTGTGTTGGAACAGCACAGCACACATCATAGTGTGAATGGTTTTACATGCACAAAGCTAGAACTTATATATTGGATGTTGTATATAAATCAATTTGAAATTAGGAAAATACATTTATAAATGCATAAAGACATTGTATGTAAATACATGAAAACATTTTATTTTATTTTAGTACTGCATTTTTAAAGGATTGAGCGAACCACCTGGGCAACACAGTCCTGTTGGTTAGCTCTTTGTCTGTCAGCAGTTCTCAACTTTTTTTTTACTACAAGGCCCTTCATTGTCAAATGCGATATTTGAAGGCCCTACAAGATGTTTTCTGGTAGCTCTGCTGTAATGAGAAAGCAATCTTTTAGAGCTTAAAATAACTAGAAAAAATTATATGAATTAAAATGATGATTAAAATGATTATATAAAAAAGATTATTAAAAATTATATAAAAATTATTATGAGCATGTGTCTGTTTGCTGGTAAGATGAAATGCTTTTAATATTTATAAAATACAATAGAATATCAAATGAAATAGTGCGGAAAACAAAAATAATCAAAAAGTGCTTTAAAAATACAAAGCTGCCACTGGGGTGGTACTGTAAAGTACAGAAGCTAAAAGGTACATCTTTTTGCCTTATTTAACCCTAAATGATACATATTAGTACCTTAAAGGTACATAGTACCTTTTTGAAAGGTATCACTTTATGTTTGAGAGCGTGTGGTGTCTTAGAAGTTTGCTGTTTACATGTATGTGTGTGATAAAGAGAAAATATTTTATTCGCATAACCTCAGAGAAAGACTCATGACACTGATTCAAACTGAACTAGAACCAGTGCATATGAGTCATTTTGTTGGTGAATCTGACTAGTTTTGTTGTGTGTATGTTTGTTTTTGTGCACACCTCGTGAGGATGACTAAATTGAAAGAACTCCTTGCTTGTCATGGTTTTGCAGTACACACAAATGAACAGCATGCACGCTGGAACACAGCGGTAATGGAACATTTATTAGAGCGACTACAGCATATCAATCAATGCAGAGTTTCTCATATCTCAGTTCTGTGGGGGAGTTTTTTGTCTTTCCCTTTCCTTACAAAATGTACAATGGAAGTATCTTGGTAATATGTTTGTTTTTAGGTGGTAGTACTTTGCTAACCAGTACTTTAATATTCATCTAAAATTAAATCACATACAAAAAACACAACTGTACGATATCACGTTTTTGTGCTTGTTTTCATTTTGTAACAGCACTCGTATAGACTGTACAGATTTACCTGACAAGTCTAATCCAAATATTTAAAATATTAATTACAGCTATTTTCTGTTTTATTTAGACTTTCTCGCATCTAGAGCTTTTGTCTGTACAACAGTCTTCTGTTAAATGCCCTTTTATGTATTTTCAAGAAACGTGGAAGTTGAGTTGAGAAGTTGATGTTGAGTGAAATGCTTTGGCGCCCTCTAGTTGTATGAAATACATTACAATGTCTTAATTTGTCTCATTCACTCAAATCTTAATCCACTGAAAGCGATTTTCCTTGTTGCCCTCTCATTTCTCTCTCTCTCTTTCTTACTTGCTTTTATTTTATTGTAAATATACAACTCCTACACTCTTAAAAATAAAGGTGCTTCACGATGCCATAGAAGAACCTTTTTGTCTAAATGGTTCCATAAAGAACCTTTAACATCTGAAGAACCTTTCTGTTTCACAAAAGGTTCTTTGGGGCGAAAGAAAGTTCTTCAGATTATAAAAAGGTAATAAAGAGATGGTTCTTTAAAGAACCTTTGACTGAATGGTTCTTTGTGGAACCAAAAATGGTTCTTCAATGGCATCGCTTGAAGAACCTTTTGAAGCACCTATATTTGTAAGAGTGTATGTAACTGGCCGAACATGTACAGTACAGCTCTTGTCATCAAAATAACCTCATCTGCTGACATGGCATTACATTTTTTTTACTACCTACCTACCTCTCTTTTTTTCACTCCAGGACAGTAAAGAGCCTCCAGACTGCAGACTAAGTGAATCTTTCACATCTTCGGGTTCCACGCTGGGGGTAGACCTGCGGCGGAGGCGGCGGCGTTTCTCCGGTAACCTACAGTTGCCTCCTTTATCATGGCGGCAGACGGAGAGGTCCCGCAGTCCAGACGACGAGATCATGGCAAGACCAACTACACTGCCCTTCATTACACCCCCTCGCATTGACATCACACCTGTGGACTCTGAGTGGTGAGTCCGTGTCAATCAGCTCCTTTCACTGCTCCTCAACTTTCATTTCAGAAATCTGATATCTTATAAAAGATGTGTGTAAAATGTTTGATGTTAAGGAACTTTCTTCCATCTCAGTTTAAAATGCAGGGACTTTGTACGTTTTTTGTCTTGAAGAGTGTAAACACTATGGCTCTTCTGTGATTCCTTTATTATATTGTTTGAGGTTTAACAATTGTTGAAAAAAATGTTTGGTAAACCTGTTTGGAAACACCAATTAATTTAGCAAACCTTAGTGTGTAGATTATATAAAATTTTATATGTGACCCTGGACCACAAAACCAGTCTTAAGTGTACATTTTTCGAAATTGAGATTTATACACCATCTGAAAGCTGATAAATAAGCTTTCCATTGATGTATGGTTTGTTAGAATAGGACAATATTGGGCTGAGATGCAATTATTTGAAAATCTGGAATCTGAGGGTGCAAAAAAATCTAAATATTGAGAAAATCGCCTTTAAAGTTGTCCAGATGAAGTCCTTAGCTATGCATATTACTAATCAAAAATTAAGTTTTGATATATTTACGTTAGGAAATATCTTCATGGAACATAATCTTTACTTAATATCCTAATGATTTTTGGCATAAAAGAAAAATCGATAATTTGGACCCATACAATGTATTTTTGGCTATTGCTACAAATATACCCGTGCTACTTATGACTGGTTTTGTGGTCCAGGGTCACATATTATATAAATGTAAGCTATATAATACGCTTCCGTTCAAAAGTTTGGGGTTGGTAAGATTTAAAATCTTTTTTTTTTTTAAGTTTTAGAAGTCTTTTATGCTCACCAAAGCAGCATTTATTTGTGTTATTACATTTGAAAATAATTGTTTTCTATTTTAATATATTTTAATATAAAATGTATTCTTGTGATGGTTGTTCAGAAACCATTCTAATACTGTATGCTGATTTGGCGCTCAAGAAACATTTTCTATTATCAATGTTGAAAATATTTTAATAATGCTCAATATTTTAATGGAAACGGTGATCTTTGAGAAAGAGTCCCTAAAGTCCATGAAGAAAGTTCAAAAGAACAGCATTTATTTTAAATAAAAATCTTTTAATCTTTTAAATTTAAATCTTAATGACCCCAAACTCTTTAACGGTAGTGAGTGTTACTTATACTATATAAGCATTTTGTGTTATTTGGTCGTGTCAGGTGCCCCTGAAACAAACTAAAAAGTCTTATTTTAGCTGTAAAAGTCGGGTCGTTGTTTCATTAACAACAATGCTGACAGTCTGCATAGGCCTTATATAAAAACACTTATTTTGCTTTGGCTGCTTGGACAGTGTTACTTAAATTATTTAGAACTTTCTAATATTAATTGAGAGGAATTGTGCTCATTCTTGTGGCATCTCTCTATATCAAAAATGTATGTATAAGTATGATGACTTATTATTTGTATTGTAATATAAATATGTTGCCATCCAGTCACTGCATTGCTGATTATGGTTTTGAGTATGGATTGTGGGACATGTACATTTATTAGACAAGTCAACATAAGAATACGGCCAGTTCGTCTCTTTTAGCGCAGAAATCTCCAACATTGGCATTTAATTCAAAGAGTTTTTTTTCTCTCTTTTTAGTCAGTAAATCATGAATTAAGTTTATTTTATCTGCATATTATGTAGATTGTGGCTGTTCTGATTTATGTGACTGCATGTTGCTTTGGTAGAAAGATGTTTCAGGAGTAAAAATTCACCGCAAATTTGTAGCTGTTTCTGAAGTTGATTCTCATCACTCATGATTTGCATAATTTGCTTTAGATATGTAGAAGTGTCTGCAAAGCTTGTAAATTAGCACACATATTATACAGTATTAAATTATTTGAAAACTCTCAAAAAGGGTTAGGTTATCCAAAAATGAAAATTCTGTCATCATTTAATAACCCTAATTTTTTTCTTCAGTTGAGCACAAAAGAAAATTTTTTTAAGAATGTGGGTAACCAAACAGTTGACGGTAGCCATTGACTTCCATATGGAGAAAAAAGAACACTATGGAAGTCAGTGGCTACTGTCAACCCTTTGGTTACCAATATTCTCTAAAATATCTTCTTTTGTGTTGAATAGAGGAAAGAAACTCATATTTGAAAGGTGAGCGAAGGTTTCAGAATTTTCATTTTTGGTTGAACACTTGTACTTAATGTCTTAGCATCTGCAATATGCTTTACATATAACCTATGTACATATGGAAATCCTAAATTGCTGCATGATGAGAGATTAAATATATTAGTTTTGCTTCCAGCACTAGTGATTTAAGCTGCAGCTGCTCAGTCTTGTTGCCATGAGGAGAGGGAAATCTGTCTGGTTGTGCTTGGCAACACAGCAACAGCTGGTTTGTAATCATCAATCAATCATTCTTCCTTTAATTTGTCTGCTAAAAAGATGTGATTTGACAGCAGAGTTGCAGTTAGTGAGTTGCAATAGCTTGATGGGCCCACAGCAAATGCACCAATAAGACCCAAATACATTTGTGATTGGATACTTATAATACTTTATATTATACATGTAGCCACAAATTAGATATTTGTTTTATCTGTCTGAAAATAAGGTCAGGTCTGATTTTCAATATTTCAACTTTAGAGCACACAAGTTTGATGTGTTTGCTAAATGTTTTCCATCAGATTACACTACATGCATTAAGTTGGTAGTTGTTGTCGTTGTTTGCCAGTGGAGGTCAGCATTGAGACTAAAATACGTCGTCGTGGTTTTTCTTCTCAGGTGTTTCTGTGTGTGCCACTTCAGGTTTGGTAAACCTCATGAGCATTCATCAGTCTGCCCCCAAAAAAACACTCAAGACCCACATTTGTCGTAAAATGTATTTAAGTAGGCCATTTCATTGCATGCCCTTTCAAATGGATGACAAATTTAGATATTGAGATATATATATATATATATATATATTACTCAAACTAATAAAGACACCCTGGCAAGCATTCATTATTTGCCCTGCTATCTCACACTCTTGCATTTCTGCTCTTGTTAGAGCTGCTGTCTGTTTGATGTGTGTGTCAGGAGAATCAGGAGACAAGGTTTAGGGAAAGTGCTATATTTGGAGTACAATTATTTTCCTGCTGACGTGACTCCATTGCAGATTGATTTGGGCGCTCCCAGGTGGCTTGTGGGATAGCTTTATGGGCCAGGCATGAGCAATGATGCTGGAGGACAGACACCACAGGGCACTGAGCTGTCTGCCAAGAGAATTCATCATTGACTTTACCCACTTTCTCGTGACTGAGTGCTCTATTGTGTGCGTGTGATTGTGTGAGAGAGAAAGAACAATTTCTGATATCAAGTCATGCAGACAGTGTGAGGCAGATTCATTCAGAAGTGCCATTGCACAAGACTCCAGGGCAAGAGAACTCACACTCTTGTGTCCGGGTCAGATCGAGGCCTGTTTAGTCCTAATCTGTCACTTCCTGCAGGATGAATGGCTGTATGATGTAAGAACATGTCGGTCTCTGTGACTTTTAGACGTCATCATCTAAAGAAATATGAATATACTGACCCTGAAAATGTATGGCTTTATTTTCTGAGGGACACAAAAAGAGAAATTTAGCAGAATGTTGTAGCGGCTTTTTTTTCAACGAGGCATGAAAGGAACAGTTAGTGTGTATACACAGTATGGAAAATGTTACACCAACCCTTACAAAATTTACATTGGCCAATATGTTGATTATAGGCTTTAAAATACATTATCAGTTAATTATTAAATAAATAGTAATTTCTCTGTATCTGAGGACTTTTAAACCAATTGCTAAATATTATTCAATGTGCTCCATAGAAGAAGGAAAAAAGTATGGGTTGCAAATGACATGAGGGTGATTAATGATGTCCAATGTTTTGTAGTTACTCAAAAAAAAAGAATCGACTACAAATTACTAATTACTTCTTTAAAATTGTAATATGTTTACATTACTGATTACTGCATTTAAAAATAATCAGATTACTAATTACTTTACTTTTAAGCTACTTTCAAGTTTACTTCACTTTTCAAGTTATCAAACCTAAAAAATACACTACAAAGTGAAACTCCTAGTCCTTTCATATTGACTGAAAAATTACATAGCCTAAGGCCCAATCCCAGTTCTACCCCGTAGCCCTTCCCCTTTCCCCTACCCCTCCGTTTCACGCGTTTACATGAAGGGGTAGGGGTGTCTCGATTCTCTTTTGGTTGGAGGGGTAGAGGTAAGAGGAAGGGCCAGATAGCCCTTCAAACGAAGGGGTATGAATTATCTCAGCGTAAACCGAGCGTAAATAAAATTTATAAAATAGAATTGGGATTGGGCCTAAGTATCAAAACAGCAACTTGAATCATCACTTGCATTTTTTTCTGATAACGGCGAAAAGAACTTAAAATGTTTTGTAATTTTTGATCGTACAGATAAGAGTAATACTTCATTTGTGACTTCAAAAGGTATTTTATTTGTATACACTCGCAATACTAAAAAAATATTGTGCTTTTGTAAAATAAAGAAAACAAACAGGGTGGGGTTTCTGCAGTCTCAGTCTCGAATATCTTCCTGCAATGCGTCACTTAAATGAACGAAAAATTAGCAAATACTTGACACACAGACATGAGAAATATATCTAAAGAAAGCTTGAAGTGTCTTTTTAGTAAGACATAAGTCAGCCATGTCGAAAACAAAAATTCTCTGATAAAGTAATTAGTTTGAAACCAGTTGAGGTACAGTCTTTCCCGTCTGAGTTCATTATCTGTAATGTGGTTACACCCACACGCATCATGCGCAATATGATAAACATCCACGTGAAACCAGGCTTGAGATGCACGAACATGCAAACGCCCACATCACCTCTGTAAACTAAGAATTAAGATTCATCAAGTTCATCTAGGCTACTTTTCGTTTTTGGAACAAAAAAATCGAGTGCAACATTTTGAAATATGACCGGAAACCTTTTATTGCATCTAAATGTTGTGGGACTCGTCTGCATTTT